TACAAAGTACACGTTATAAAGCATCAATAAATTATTGATCCAGCGACTTTTCCGCACCGATACGACTTAGTAACCTTCAAAAAATGAGCCTTCTCTTTTTTAAAAGGCCAGCAACGCATCTAAAATTCCCTTGGTGTTGCAACTGTTGCTGGGCGGATGTAGATACTTACCATCAGGTGAGCCGCATATTAGTTTGCCCCACCTTATATAAAAAAATAAACTTAGTAGTTGCTAACCATATTTAATACAGCTGATTTTAGGGAACACTTGTTTTTAACTATGTATTTATTATCTGTACTTAATAAAAGAAATTCAATTATAAAACGGAAATTTTGTTTCTTATCTCCCATATTAACTCTCAAAACATCGGCCACTTACATAGTAGGTAGTGAAGACTTGAAACCGGTACAACGCATTGACAATGGCAGTACGAGACAATATGAAAATATAATTATGCCAATAACTAAATTCAAAACTAGCGATCATCCCGGATCCGGATGGGTGGGATATATTAATTATTTAGATTTCAGATAGGCAATCATCAAAGGTTAATAATTTTTTTTATCATATTTCAATTTCCCCAAAAATCCTACATTTTTTCAGGAAACTATAGCTTAAATCGCTATTGGAATATTCTCTATCTACACGTGAAGCTTTCTCGCTATTAGCCATTCTGTAGATTAGCTCAGACAGACAGCAAAAAATTAAAAAAAATAAGATTTAGTTTTTAATAGCGTGCAAATTTAAAAGAAGTTTTCAATTGCAATTCCAGACGTCTCGCAACTTTAATGCTAGGCCTCGTTACCAGTTTGGGTATTTTGCGTGTGCTAATAATAATAATGTCCTTCTGACCGAATTTCTGTCACGGCGTTCAGTCGCAACAAAAATTGGCCATTTACACAGGACAGTTTATAGCTCATAATATGTGTGCCCACAAGTACGGTTGCACTTCGACAAGTCTTTGAAAATGTTGATAAGACAAATAGAGAAGAAATAATGACGATTTTCACTACCACCACAATATTGTCTTACCATTGCCATGTATAGTTCGATAAACAGGCGTACTAAATCTGCAATCTGTATACTACTTATAGTGCAAACTGCTACATATTGGTTTATTTATTCTCTTAGTCGGAAAAACAATAATTTTGAGACAAAATGTCACAATAGAATGTTTGAAGTTACAGCAGAATATACACATTTAATAAAGAAAAATTATTGTAACGTTATTAATATAATAAAAAATCCTTAATAAATAAAAAAGCAAAATTTTTACTTACACTTTTCACATTTTCATCAATTAATTAATATTAGTGAAGCCCATAAAGATTTATTATAATACTCCTCTTTTTCTTTAATTCATTGATAAATTATTTTACAAAATGGTAAAGCTTGAAAATCCCAGTAGGGACCAGGGACGGCGAGAGGGCATTTTTCACTAGCAATGGAAGGTATAAGTATAACGTAAGTTATGTAGTTAGTTAGGTAGTTAGTTACAGCCTATGTAGGTCTCACTGGTGGGCAAAAGCCCCTCATTTCTGAGAGTGTTTTAGGGCAAAGAAGTGTCCGCCACGCTGCCCCAATGCGTGTTGGCGAACTTCATATGTCTTCGATTTTTTTTATTATTTCTCAGACATGCAGGTTTCCTCACGATGTTTTCCTTCACCGCCGAGCACGTGGTAAATCAGCACTTAAAATTGCAACTAACAATTTCATTGCGAAAGTCTAACGTAAGTTTTTCGTATATAATATTGCCTATATCACTCCTGGAGTTGCTCTCTATCTGTACGTGAAGATTCATTTCAATCGGTTTAGCCATTTCAAACATTAGGCTGAAATGTTTTATTTATTTTTTTTTATTTAAAAAAAAAGAATATCAACAATGCTATAAACATTACTAATATTCCCCTTTACAACTCGTGGTAAGCTTAAATTGCTTGTGTTACGAGTGGTTCACGCCAGTAGTCGAATGGTGGATTCGAACCCACGACCTTTTTGAGTTCGCGGCCCGCGCCCTGCCATTAGGCTACTGTTGCCATTAGGCTGAAATGACAGAAAGACAGAAGACAGGCATACAAAAACTTTAAAATCATCTATCCATGTCTTAAAGACATGCAAATAACGATATCAACTCAATTAATGTCGGTTCTTTCGATATTACAGACAGACACTTTAATTTTATTTATATGTATACATTAAGAGCTGTGGTAGCTCAGATGGTTAACGCTCGCTGTAAATATAACAGAATGCGAGTAACCCAGGTTCGATCCCCGCCGGCACCAACGAAATTGTTAGTTGCAATTTTAAGTGCTGATTTACCACGTGGTCGGCGGTGAAGAAAAATATCGTGAGGAAACCTGCATGTCTGAGGAATAAGAAAAAAAAATTTTGAAAACATGTGAAGTTCGCCAACACGCATTGGGGCAGCGCGGCGGAAACTTCCTTGCCCTAAAACCCTCTCAGAAATGAGGGGAAGCCTGTGCCCAGCAATGTGACGTATATGTTTATGGCCGGTAACTTTAACTTTTTTAACTTTATTAAGTAGGTATATGTATATGACTGACATTAACAACTAGAAAGTATATGTCACATTCTTAACATAAACCGGATGTTCCCTGAGCCACAAAATGAATATAGTCACCTACAAAGTTATTATAACCGTATTTCTGTGCATCAAAAACTTTACCATGCATCAAATTGCAAAAGTTTCCATTTTTCGTAACCCAGTTACGATCGTAGTAGTTGGGTGGCGCAAACGTCAACTTTGCAACAAAATAATATTATAAGATTTTGAAACTAAGAAAATGCCGTTAGTGAAGAAATATAACCAACATGTAAATTGTGAGGAAATAAGTATGTTTCAGACTATTTATGTCTACTCTATCGTAGGCAAATATTTTATTAAAAAGTGAATTTACTTACATTTGATTTGAATCTGGAATATAGTAGTAATATTAACATATCTTATATACAATATGTAACGTAATTAACGCACACCTTCAGACACCCCAATTAGTATATTATGTTATAATCATAATACATACACTGAATTTTTAATTAAACATTTTTATGCACTGATTATTTATCAAATTAGTTATACTAATCCCGGAAGAATGTTGTGGCCACAGTACAATTCCACGAACGTAAAGACTTTAAAATGCTTGAAATAAAGTTCATTTTTCTTTAAATTTTATTGAATCACAGAATTAGTAATTATACAAATAAAACTGCACTCTTAAAAGTCTTATTGCCTTAACCCTACGATGGTAACATAATTTAAATGAACACGCATGGTAACAGGGGTGTCACGTCACCCCATGATAATAAAATGAATAAAAAACTTTTATTTAATGAAAAATTAAACTTTTTATTTTTGAAACAAACTTAAAGAACACTTTTCTTTAGATCAATCAGTAACTAAAAGAAATTAGATTTATAAAAAATGTTTTATGGCAACTTAAACACAACTGAGACAAATTTCCACACGATGTTCAGGGCACGCAGGTCTTCTGCATTTTGAACAAAAAATCTTCACTTTATTGTCATTTTTTCGAGGACACAATGCACATCGAGCTTTTTTTTTTGCAATTTGGCGGGGGGATTCACATGCTGGAACTTCTTCGAGGACATTTAGAATGGCTCTTATATTTCCCGATAGTTGTCGAGGTAAATTTGACTCCAGGCGTCGTCTCATGTGCGGCTCGGCTAGCTGCATTGCTAGTTTTTTTAAGAAATTACTTCTAAACTTATTAGCTGGTGTGTTTGGATGCTTAGCTTCTAGATAGAGAATCATAGAGTTGATCCCTGCTTGATCTAACATACCGAAAAAAACCTAAGCGGCCAGCGTCGAGTACCCCTCGCAGTCGTGTAATTCTGCATCATTTTGTCAAAGGTATCGACGCCTCCCTTTGTCGCATTGTAGTCATCAATTATAACTGGCTTATACGTTGTAGGATTGATCTCTTCCTTATTGTGCATAGTAGATAGCAATATCACCGATTTGTTTACCTTTGGAGTAAAGGAGACTAACGTTTTCTCGCGATCAAATGCAAACTGAGAGGACAAAGCAGACTTTGATTTATTCGGTAGGAAAGCAGGTGGTATCTCACGTTTATTTTTACGTAAAGTTCCAATACAAGTAAGTCGATATTCCTTCAGTAACTGGTCTGCAAGAGGCACCGAGGTGAACCAATTATCAAAGGTTATGTTTCGTCCAGAACCTTTGATGCTCTCAGCTAACTTTGTGACGTAGTCTGCTGCCGTCTTCGCCTCGGTTTCTTTGCCTATGTAAGGAATTACATCAAACATATAATATGCTTTAACAATATATATAGCCACAATTTTCATGCCATATTTGTCTGGTTTCAAAGATATATAAACACGAAAGGGACACTCTTCAAAAACCAAATAGTTGCTCATCAGTCGTAACGTAACAGCGTGGTTGGTACGCTTTTGTGCAACTGTTTATAATAATCTTCCATGCTTCTCGAATAGGTGCAAATTTATCCTCTTTATCACGGCTGTCCTTATCATCAAATCTTAGGCAAAGTAGCAGAAAATGAAACCGACTCTCGGACATTATCGACTTGTATACAGGGGTACTCGGTGGGCGCCCACATTTCAGTTGCACTTTTTGTACTATCTTTGTTTACCGCGGCATAAAATAATAGCCCTATGAGTGCTTCGATCTCTGTTTTGTCTGTTTTATGAGTAAAACGTTGGTCTTTATATTTGGGAGCACGTCTACTAATTTCTTGGTTTGTGTATGTAAGTACTATGTCGAGAGGTTTAGAGAACAAAATCATAAAAGCTTCTTTTTCTATTTCAATATTAGAACGGACTTGCGAAGACCTTTGGATGGTTACTATGTTACGCTGAGGTGTTCTGCTTGATGATGGGGCAGAAGTAGACCAAACATGTCCATTCTTACCTTTCAAAACACTCCCTCGAAGCTGTGACAAAGGCACATCATCTTCATCTGAGCCGGAAATAATGTCGTCTTATTCGGAATGCACGGACACGTTATCTTTATTTTCAGAAGCCTGCTCCGCCTCAAATGGCTCTGTTTCACTATCATCATCCTCGACCATATTATTTAGGTACCGCTCAAGCTCTTCATCATTACGAAACGCCATAATGAACTGAAAATAACATATAAAAAAATACAGTAACAAAAGAAAATAACTACATAAATAGTAACAGGGGTGACGCAACACCCCACACATACCTGCAGAACGAAATCGACGTGTTGCCGCGCCCACCGCGCAACGGCTACTAATGACTCACGGTAAGACAAAAAAAATACACAAAATACTAGAGCGAGAGAGCAAATAATTTTCAATAAATTGGCGCGTGATTGCTGGCGTGGGGTGTTGGGGCACCCCTGTTACCATCCTAGGGTTAAGTTTCGGTCCATTTCAGTTTGTTTTGACTGTACATATTTAGTGTGACTGTAATTTACGTAGTTTTAATTATTTTTGGGATAAAAAATTACCTATATTAAAAATGATAGGAATCGATTCAGTAAACGATTCTGAACAAACTACTTTCTCAAAGTGCGTTAATTATATTACATGTTGTATAACGTGGCTAGAATCACGCCATAACTATATATACATAGGTGTAACATGAATAGGTCTGCTTAGCTGCGGAAGGACCATCCTTATTAGCGGAAAATAGCTGTGAAATGCTGCTATGTTTTCCATGATGCCGAGATATTTTGTCGCGTCTTAGTCTTCAGAAACGATAATGCACCTACCCGCTTTTGATTCAACACAACGTTTATATCAAACAAGACGATACTATAATTCGTTATTTGTACGCAAATACATGTAAATCCATATTCGTCAAATTCCAAATTTCAACACGATATCGGTAACTGTTATATCTTAAAGAGAAGAGACGACTCTTATTACAACATAAGTCATCATTAGGTTTATGTTACCGTATCAAAACTTAAGTGTGTGCAGGCCAAGTTCCAAGAAAAGTGAGAAATATAAAATCCAGAAGAGGCGACCCTTGCTGTTTCATGATATACTTTATTGAGGGCTATAGTGTGCCGAGGAGGACACGCAATTTTTTTTTTAATTTTGGTCAAGGCAAGTCCCGTTAAAGTCTACGGCTGGATATGGGCCTCGTCCATTGTAGGGATCTGACTTTATCATCGCACTTGGCAAACGGATTCACGATCGCAGTGCCAGACGTTACGCGCCTTTGAGATTGCTGCACATCGTCAGTCTGGGTAATCTACTTCAGGCAATACAAGTAACCATTAAACAATTCCATGAAGAGTAATATTTTACTGGTGATAGAACTTCTGTACTACGAATCCATCTGTATAGATACAACCCTCTTACATATTTCTATCGCCAAGTAGCCTTGCGTGCACTCTGTGTTCCGGCAAAGAATATATACACTACGCGAAAAGAAATGACACTTAAGCATGTGTGCACGTAAAATCGCTTGCGGCTATGTGTATGGATGTGCGCGGGGCGTGGAACGGGCAGTCGCCGACTGCCCTGGCCGAGGGCTGATAGTATACCGATATTTGTCAGTGTTAGTTAATATGAATATGAATATATTCGTCAAGTGATATTATAATATTTCAATTAATATATGAATATTACTGATATCTATAAAAAATTATACATGCTACGAATTTTTGCAATTGTTAGAAATGATAATGAAAAGTAATGGAAAAATTCAAATATATATATATATATATATAATTATATCATAATTATGATTACCATTTACTGTCGTGCATATTTGGTTTTGTCGGAAGTTTTAATAGTCCTCATTTGTAAAGACATTTAATAAAAGTTGATTTAAAATTGAACGTATCTTTCACTACCCAAATACATAAGTTTACATAATATATAACATATACCTACTATGTATCTTCTTTGGTAATAGACTATAATATTCCATTTCGATTCGAATCCTAGCGTTACACGCTTCGACTCAAGGTCACCGGCGCTTAAGCTCTCACGTACAGGGAGTGTCACCGCTGTGGTTCCGGCCCGATGGGTATCGAGAGACAGTATAGTAACAATCTGTGAGATATTCCATTTTAGTTCTCAGAGATGACAACGCGTCTGTACACTTCTGTGATTTAAGTTGGCTGCAGCTGTCGTGTATGCTGGTTGCAGCAGCTAATTACCAGCAAGCGGACTGTAAGTTCGTTTCACTTAAGTTTTATAAAATAAATTCCGGCTGCAGCATCACTTCATATTTATGATACTGATATTTGCCATCCGATATTAATATGCACCATATCTGTTTAGAAATTTATTCCTGGTCAGATGATCCTGACTGTAGAATCAGGTAATTAATATGATAACATTTCACCCCAAGTTTTAAACATCTTGTACTGCCCTTAAATTTTCATAATTAATGAACAGACAGACGCAATGCTTCATTTATCTGTAATGTAGTAAGTACTAGTTATAAATAGAAGTATGTTTTAATATATTTTCACATAAATTTTCAAAAAGCTTTGACTAGATAAGTAACAAAAATCTGAATACAGCTTACCAAGAGCCATCTTCCATACTCACAAAGCCGAATTTGAAATCCCAGTACTATTAACTTTTCGCTGTAGTTGCAGGGTATGCTTCAATAGAATCGGTTATGGAAATTTTTTTTTAAAGATAGTGAAAATGCAGAGAATGTGTTTTGTGATTAATAAATATAATAAAAATTAGTATGCAAACTATTAGTTCAGTATTAATTTTTAAAAGAACTTAGAAGCGCATATAAAAAAAAAGTCTGCGGTTGAAACGTGTGAAATATTACGTCGGAAAAAGGATAGCAAATAGCTCTTCACTTTCCTTTCGTCATAATGCCAGAGGCGCAGTGGTTTGTCGTCTAGACGATGTAACGACGGAACAACATATTAATTGCAGTTTTCCTCGAACGATGTAGCCAATGGAATGAAATATAAAAGAAAGAGAGATAAAACACAAAGAACGAGGTTTATAGTTAATCACAATGGCTTAGTATAATAACCTATTGGCTCAAAGATGTATTATGTTGGTTAGCTTAATATCCTCTGATTACAATTTTCTTATAATCATCATCATCACTGTATAAGTATCATAGGTATAACATACTCGTGTACTTGGTCATCTACAGTGGCCAACATTTTCTGGCGTCACTAATATAAAATATTACGTATGTAGACAACCGGAGTGTAGAGCTGAGTGTACAGAACGGGAGTACTTTTTCATTGGAAAAGAGGCATTCCATCTTAGTCCTCAGAGGTGACAAACCATCTGCATTTTGACAAGAGACATAACATAGCGAAAGTATCCTTTGTTAAATTATTTCTTATATAGTAACCTTTGTTTTTATACTTTATTGAGGGCTATAGCTTGCCGAGGAGGACACGCATTCTTTTTACAATTTTGGTAAAGGTGACTTTCAGGATTACCACCCATAGGTCATAGAGTCATATTAACTCCTAGAGTTAATTGTCGATGGATGTAGGTGACTCACAAACGTGGTTTGTGTTAGTCTATGGGGTGAAATATGTCCAGCAGTAGACATGTGATAGGCTGCAAAGATGATAATTATGATAAAGATTATTTTCAGTGACGAAACGCAGTGCAACTTACAGGTGACTGCCAATTAGCGACCAATGGGACAACTAGTTATTTCATGACAACCCATAAAATCATTTTCATTCAAAGACACTGTCACTGAAGAGCGTTGCAACGAGCAAACTTAGTGCCATTAATATCTAAATATTATTTGTTAAATAGAATCTATGGTTATCCTGCCAAATTATACTTTTTGTTAAAAATTTAATGATGAATTTTCTACAAAAATTATGAATAATGCGATATTTTATATCATTATTTATTACTAATATATAGTAGAGTACTATATCTATACTTCGAAACCACATAGATAAGAATGAGAGTAACAAGGAACTATCACTCAGAAGTATACATCAGTGTATGTGAGTGTATACGTGGTAAAGCCATGCTGCAGCTATATTATGGTAGTACTACTACCTGACGGAGTAGCAGCGTAAAATAGCATAGTGTAGAGAACCGGAGACCTTTTTCAATAAAAAAGAGGCATTCCGTCTTAGTCACCAGGTTGACAATCCATTTGCATTTTGATTCTTAATCGAAGATAAATGAAGATATCTATAGGACTCAGCATCCACTTACCATCAGGTGGACTGTGTTCTCGTTTATTCCTTTATTCCATACAAAAAAAAAAAACTAATAAAAGTGCCGATTGCGCTATCGTTTTTCTAAATTTAGTTTATTCTTTGAGCTGAACTAAATGAAGTAGACACAAATTTCAATGAATAGTGAATGAATGATAACTTTATTTTATAAAATGAAGTTGTCCATTTCCACTTTTTCGCTTTCACTCGGTCACGAATTACTTATGTCTAGTGCAGGGAGCGAGCAGCACAAGCGTGGCGGCACCGGTATGCTCTCTGTGATATCAGATATCTAATTATAAGCTGTATTGTGTATAGGTAGGGTATGTTGCTAGTTATGACACATAACTAAAACTACTGACCATATCAAGGTCGCATATTGAGCGTATAAAGTAGTATGTTCGGAGTTTTTCTGAGTGATTCATGATCAACACAGAGTAATTGATAAATGAGCTGAAATGGATCCACCGAATACCTCAACGAATGAAAAACCAATGTGTAATATTAGAGTAACAGATTCGTACCGGCAAGTAAAATGATGTACGGCTACGATTATTTGTTTGGAATGACGACCTTGCGCTAAGGACCTTCGTTTCTGCTAAGGAGGGTCGCGTCTGTTTACGGCTTAAAGATCTCTTGTCAGATCGGTAAGCCAATCCCTAAAAGGCAGTGTTTAGTGGGTAAAAGTCTCCACATAACCGGCACGCCGCCACGCAGCCGGCTGCCTGGTATGCTATAAGCATTCACTGCTTCCCTCCCCCGTTTTCCAGAGGGTTGCCCTTAATTGCTTCCGGCGTAAAAAAAAAGAATGACTACCTTGTATGACACGCCAGGTGGCTCAAATCCGTGCCTTGTGTTATTACTTCGGGGAGACCTATTTTCAGCTGTGGACTTGTAATGATGATAATTATGATTGTTTTTAAATAACTAAAACTTGTAACATGGCGTCCGTGACAC